GCTCCTTGGAGGCCAGAATGGCCAAACTTCGTTTCTCATACTTTGGACATGTTTTGTCTGGAGAGACCAGTCGCTCAAGAAGGAGATCATGTTTGGTAAGGTGGAGGGTCAGAGAAAAAGAGGAATACCCCCAGCGAGATGGATTGGCAATGTGGTCGCATCAGTGGGCTTCAGCGTGACAACAATTGTGAGGTGTGCCCAGGATCGGACAGTGTTTTGTTCTGTTGTACATAGGGTCACTGTGAGTCAGTAGCGGCTCGATGGCACGTAACAACAACAAATTAAGGAGCACAGAATTCTCTGGGAAGTGTTTATGTATGTATGTATATGTATATACACATGTATGTATATATATGTATATATGTGTGTGTGCGTATGGTATATATATATGTGTGTGTGTGTGTGTATGTATATGTATTAAGGTCAGTTTGAACTGCAAGGTTGGAAGTTCAGCCCTAGCAGTCCTACCTCGGAAACCCTATACAGGGTCACTATCAGTCGAAACCGACTCGACGACAGTAACAACTATATATGTGTATGTGGATATATATAGTCACCACCATCATTGATATATATGTCCTAATCAAAATTTGTTTTGTTATCATTTTATGGTCATTATCTTGATCACATATTATAGATAACATGAATGTAGGTCAGAAAGTATTGCTACAAAATTATAGAAACCTTTACTAAACAAAAATATCAAAATTGGAAATGGTGTTTCTTGACATATCCTGCATCTAGGTGTGTATGCTTCTGAAGACAGCATTTCCAAATCTAACCTTCCCTGTCCTTAATTTACACTATGTCCATATGACAGTTGTGGCATCCTTGAGGGATTCAAATCATGTTCTTTTTAAGTATTCTTTGAGTTTGGGAACACAAAGAAGTCAGAACAAGATCAGGGCTATAGGGTAGATGAGTTGGTAAGGTTTCAACAATGCAATTCTTGTAGGACAGCCCTTGCTACTTTCCAACAATGAGCTGGTGCTTGTTGTGGTAGAAAACAATTCCTCAAAATAAAAATTTTGGCCTTTTTTTCACCAGTGCAGTTTTCAGTTTTATGAAAACTTTTAATAAGCCCTCATGATTATTGTGTATCCTTTGAGAAAATCTATCAAGATGATCCCTTTGGAACTCCCGAAAACAGTTGACATAACCTGAGCTGACCTCCTTGCTTTGAATTTTATGGGCTCATGAGTTCCCTGAGAAGCCATTGCTTTGATTGGATCTTTTTTTGAAGGTATCTCATGAAGCTAAGACAAGTGTATTACTAAGGTAACTTATCTGAAGTCATCCATTGATTTCAGAGACATGTTGAAACTTGGTTGGTTTGCCATTAACCTGCACATACATGAACTAGAAAGCTATACTTTTTGACTTTTGTTATTGTTGTTAGGTGCCGTGGAGTCCTGACAGACTCATACTGACATTAAATCACAGCAGAATGTAATGCTGCCCAGGCCTGCACCAAACTCACAATTGTTGCTGTACTTGAGCCCATTACTGGGTCACTCACTGTGTCAATCTATCTTGTTGGAGGTCTTCCTCTTTTTTACTGACCTTCCACTTGTCCAGGGACTGGTCCCTCCTGATAACGTATCAGAAGGATGAGGGCAAAGTCTGGCCATTCTTACTTCTAAGAAACATTCTGGCTGTGCTTTCTCCAATACAGATTGGTTTGTTCTTTTGGCAGTCCATGGTACTTTTCATATTCTCCTCAAACACATCAGTTCTTCCATAGTCTTTCTTCAACTGTCCAACTTTCACTTGCATGTGAGGTTAATGAAAATACCATGGCTTGGACCAGGTGCACCTTAGTCCTCAAACTGATATCTTTGCTCTTCAACACTTTAAAGAGGGCTAGTGTAGCAGCTTTGCCTAATGCAATACGTTGTTTAATTTCTTGACTGCTGCTTCCATGTGTGTTGATGGTTGATCCAAGCAAAATTAAGTCTTTGACAACTTCAGTCTTCATGATCTTGATATTATTTATTGGTCCTTTGATGAGGATTTTGTTTTCTGTAGTCTTTGATCTTTATCAGTAAGTATTTTAAGCCCTGTTTGCGTTCAGCAAGCAAGGTTGTATCATCTGAATATCACAGGCTGTTAATGAGTCTTCCTCCAATTCTGATGCCATGTTTTACTTCAGAGAATCCAGTTTCTCGAATAAGTTTGGGGAAAGAGCACAACCTTGCTGCACACACCTTTCCTATTTGTAAACCATTCAGTGTCCTCATTCTCTTCAAACAACTTTATCCTTGTATATATGTATGTATGAAGGGATTTTAAAAAGTTGTGGAAAAATTCCATTATTTTTTATTCCATTTTTTTCCCATGAACTTTTAAGGTCCCCCTTAGTACGTATTTCTGTGTGTGTATATGTGTGTTTGTATGTGTGTTATTTGTAAGTGCTGTTGGGTCAGATGACTCCTAGTGATCCTGTATAGGATTTCCAAGGAGTGACTTGTAGGTTTGAATTGCCTACCATATGTATAGCAGTCCAGTGCTTATCCTACAGTATTCTTTATAATTGTAAGGATGTTTGAAATATGAATTTTTAATTGGAGGAAAAGAGTGACTTGGAGTTGAAATGAAAATAGGGAAGAGGCAGCTCATGAGAAGCCTGGTTGTGAGGCGCCAGAGAAGGACAGGAGCATCTCTGTCTTCTGGTGTCTTTTTCCTCTAAGCAAGCGTTTCACCAGACAGTGAAGCTTGCTGTGGAGAGCGCTGAGGGGAGTGCAGAACGCGTGAGAGACTTGTAGTGGAGAATTGTTGCCTGTTGATTAGAGCAAGGCCTGTGGCTAGCCAGTGTTGGGGGACCACTGGAGGTGGCTGTGATAATTTTGTAAGGGGACACCAGTCTGTACAGTTGCTGATGCTGGGGTCACAGTGTCAGGCAGGCCCATTAGGTATGACAGAAGGTGAGTGGGCAAGGGAGTCAGGGTTATTCACACGTGCATGAATGTTATCCTTGGTAGTGCATTGGTTAAAATGCTTAGCTGGTACTAAAAAGGTCAGTAATTAGAACACACCAGTGGTAATCTGGGATAGCCTGCAAGCCGTACGGGGCAGTTCTGCTCTGTCCTGTAGTTTCTGTGCGTCCAGATTGCCTTGACGGTGGTGGGTTTGGTGTTTGTGGTTTGAGTTGCTCTCCAAGGAGCCCTGGTGGTCCAGTGGTGAAGTGCTAATGGAAAACTTGGTGGTTAGAAGCCATCCGTGGAGCCACAGGAGAAAACACTTGTTTCTGCATGCTAGAGAGCCTTCTGGGTCAGTGTGCTGTGTCATACAGGTCACAGTGGGTCAGAATCGACTAAGCAGCACACAGCCACAATGATGGCCCTGAGCTGGGGACTCCCGAGTAGATGAAGAGGAAGGGGAAGCGAGGAGTGGTGCCTAGGACACGGTGAGGGCATGGGTATGCCGGAGTGTGCGTGCCAGGAGAAGAGCAGAACTGACTTTGAATTGTTGATTTCTGAAAGGCTGTGTTCTCTGGGATGACAAGCCCATTGTGAGTGTGGAAAGGGGCAAAATAAAGTCTGGAGAGGAAGGTGTGTGGTCATGTGAACTTCAGACAAGTGGGTTTTCCTGAGAACGTCGGAAATCATAGTCTTGTCCAGTAGAGTAGAGCTCATGGGCAGCCACGTGTAGATGTTCAAATTTAAATGAGCTAAAATTAAGTAAAAGCTAAAAATCGGCTCTTTGGTCTCTGGCTCCACTCTAGTGCTTGGTACTGATAGTGACTAGGGGTTCTTGTGCTGGACGGTACAGATGCAGAACATTGCCATTTTCACAGAAAGTTCTGTTGGACAGGGCTGCTCTGGGAAGGAGTGGGAGGGCAGAGCCCCAGCTCCTCCCTTGGAGGCTACCGTGGTGTGTAGAGGATGTGAAGTATGCTGACAGGCCATGCTTTGTGGAAATGAGGGTGCCTTAATGGTGATTGAGGTGCAGAAATATCCACAAGTCACAGAAAATTATAGCTCATGAATCTTGAAGTCACAGAATCAAATTCATCTATCTAAAATACAGATTTTATAATTAGTTTGTAGTCACTGTATACATAATGTAAAGGAAGCCCTGGTAGTGCAGTGGGTTGATGGTTCAAACCTCCCAGCTGTTCTGTGAGAGAAAGAGGGCAGCCTTGGCCACCCTGAGGCCGGTTCTAGTCTGTCTCGCAGGGTCGCTAGAACTCAGAATCAACTCAAGGGCCGTGGGGTTTTGTTTTGGAAACATGTAAATAATACTCTAAAGCTGTAAAGCATTTGGTCCAAAATGAAGCCAAAACCTTACCATACCTCAGGATGTTTCTCCTCCCAACAGCACCCTGTCAGCTTCTGACGTCAGCAGGCGCAAGTGGTTGCTGCCAGGCGCTGAGTACTCCATCTTCACGGGCCAGCCTTTGGACATCCAGGAGCAGCAGGCGGGCAGCCAGCGGGAGGAAACCTGTGCTTCTGGGTAAGACCTCTTTGTCCAGTACCAAGTACAAGGACTGGTCACTTTACTCAGGGATTTCCGTTGTCTTTAAATGTTTATTAAGTGCCATCAAGTCAGTCCAACTCAGTGAACCTGTAACAGGTTTCCAAGGAACAGCTGATGGGTTTGAACTGCCAGCGTTGCCATTAGCAGTCCAGTGCTTAGACTACAGTGCACACCCTCTATTAAGCACCATCTCTATTTCTTTAATGCCTTGATTTGGGGACCTGAATTTTATTTCCCTTTGAAAGGGTATTTTGTTGTGTAGAGCTTCCTTGCCATGTTCTTGGCATAATAGGGCACTGTGTCTGGGTTCTCATGTAGGTTAAAGATGGCTATCTTTATACTCTAGAGCTAGCTCTGGCTCCTCTGTGCCACCTCAGTTTTGTTGCAGGGGGCCTTGCAGACCCAACATATCTGCGTGTGCTAGGCTGTGGCAACAGTTGTGAGGGAGCGGCCTGCTTTATGCAGGTTGAGTTTTCATTGGTTTGTCTTGCACAGAGCACACTTTGATTGTGGACAGTAGTCATCGGTTCTCTGACGTTTATTCCCCTCACAACCCCAGTCAGCTCATGTGTCTCCCAACTGTCATTTAAGGTACCATTCGCCTCCAGAGAAAGAGTCTCCACCTGAAGATTCTCCAGCAAGTGTTTTGTTAAAAAAACAGAGAGGGACTTTAGACTCCCCAATCATGAAAGCTTTAAAAGAACTGGATGAGGAAAAAATATTTAAAAACTGGGGCACACAGACAGACAAAGAGGAGGCCTCAAATAGTAAGTATTTGTTTTCTTTCTGTTGGATAGATAGGTGTGTCGTTGTCTTCCATAATCATATTGCCATCTTTAAATGTAAATTCTCCAAGTGATGAAATGTAAACATTCAGTTAGTTATGCTGTTACAGATGACTATAAACCTTCTGTTGGTGTTATTGTTATTAAGTGTCATTGGGTCGGTTCTGACCCATAGCGACCATGTATAGCTTTCCGAGCAGTGGCTGGTGAGCTTGAATCACTGACCCTGTATTTCAAACCGACTTTGCAGTCCAGCGCATTAAACCACAGCGCCACACCAGGGCTCCAAAGGTGATTGTTTATCCCAGTGATGGCATAACATAGCAGAGGAAATCTTGTGTTCTGAATATTAAAAAGGTTTATATGGCCGCCTTTGGGGTTTTTGAAAGTTTTCTCTTACTAACATGTCTTACATACACACATCAAAAGGTCAAAAGGTTGAAAGGATGCAGAGCTGGGGGATAATAGATGCCAGACCACATACAGATCAAGGAACAGAGATGCAAAAGCTGAGAAGAGACGAGGACCTTCCCCCAGAGCCAAGAGAGACCAACCCTTCCCCAAGCGCCAGTGTTCTGAATTCAGAAACTAAGAGAAAATAAAATTCTGTAAATGCCCCACAACTGAAGTTCAGAAAGTGTTTGGTATTCATAAAATGAGAATTAGCATTTCCCTCTTCTCCTTCCCTTTCTCCTTTTCAGTAGCATTTAGAGCGGAAGTACTTTTATCTCCTTTCATCTGCTCCCAGGCTCACCTTGGTCAGGACCAATAACCACACCCTCAGCATCTGTGGTGTGGCATTTTCAACATAATATCTCCTAGTAAATAAATTAGTAAACTATTTTCTAAAAATAAACTCTTGAGAAACTACCTTGAATGCTAATTGTAAATGCCAACCCAGATGACTTTATTATAAATTCCCACCTTGTTGTCATCAGGCATTTTTTTATCATTCTATCTCAGTGAATTCACAAATAATCGTTATCACTTGGATACCAAGGAGAAGCGCTCTGAATTGAAGGGAAGCTAAGTGAATTCAGGTGCCTCACTGTAGGCGCATTTATTCTGTTTGTGTGACTGCTCTGTTGCTCATCTGTCTTTTGTAGAAGTAGTGAGTTCCCGACCAACAGAAACAGCAGTTGGTACCAGTCGATCCCCTGAGAAATGTGCCCAACAAAGACAAAAGCGATTAAATTCTGCATCTCAGAGGTCATCCTCTTTACCACCGTCAAACCGGAAGTCAAACACTCCAAGTAAGAGTTAACTTCATCTGTGTCTTGGGCTCTTAAGCTGGTCTCTAGTCTGTGCATGCTGTGTGATCATTTCCTAGTTCTTGGGTGCTCTTCTCAGCATAGTTAAGGGTTCTGAACCCAAGGCCCGTAAATACGGCTTTATTCAATAAACAGTTGCACAGTCATGGTTGCTGTACTTGAAGAAATTCCCTGATTATTAAAGTGAGGTTTTGGTGTGTGTCCAGTAACATTTTTGCAACTAATATCACTTCAAGAGTTTTTGAGATCATAGAGATCCAACTAAACATTCATGCACACAAATTAATTTAAGCTAATCCAGCTCTGGTAGCGTAGTGGTTACGAATCAGGCTGCTGACCTCCAGGTCAGCAGTTCGAAACTACCAACTGTTCCAGGAGAAAGATGAGGCTTTCTGCTCCCTTAAAGATTTGCAGCCTCAGAAACCCTGTGCAGGGTCGCTATGAGTCGGAACAGTCTCCACAGTACTTTACAACAAACAACAACAATCCCTCAGCATTGACCGCCCTTTTTTACTTCAGCTAGTGTATTTACAAGTAGGATTTAAAAGTGTAAGTGTTGAATTTCTGTATCCTCCATTTCCATTTTTTATAACAGCTGAGGAGATTGTTGGGTTACCAAGTTATAGGAATGTTCACTGTTGGACTGGTGTGTCCATCGGATTTCCAGTCCACTTCTAAAATCCTGAAAAACCAGTTTTGAGTCTGAGTGTTGAAACTACAGTCTGATAATAGTAAAATGTTAACAGTGGTTTCCTCTAGGTGTTCAGGTTACCATTTAATTTAATTCTATGTTTTATACTCCTGTCTTTGGAGAAGTTTTCTGGTAGAATTGTATTTCTCCTGGAATTAGGAAAAAGTGGTCTGCTTGTGTTCTGCCAGTATAACATATAGTCTATGTAGAAGAAAAAGAACATTTCCTTTTCCTTTTCTTGTATAGCAAAACGAGAGATTATGTTAACACCAGTGACTGTGGCTTACAGTCCAAAGCGATCCCCTAAAGAGAATTTGTCTCCAGGATTTAGTCATCTGCTTAACAAAAATGAAAGCCCAGTTCGGTGAGTTCCCTAAAATTACAGAATTAAAAAACACAATTTTTTCCCTTTGTTTTTTGAATGTTAGCTTACATCTTAATCTATCACTACTGGTATTTTAATTGCCAGTGGAAATCTAGGGATTTGGACTGTGTAACTGAGTGACATCCTAACAATAAAGTACATACATGAGGGAGTAGGGAGTATGGTGGCTCTGGGCTGAGAACTGCAGAGTGGTTGGAACCCACCAGCCGTTCCATGGGAGAAAGATGAAGGTTTTTGCTCCCTTGAATATTTGAAACCTTGTATAGGGTTGCTGTGAGTCGAAACCGACTTGACAGCACTTCATTTAACTGTGTAAAAACTGACTGAGGCTAAATGTCTGAACCCCTTCCTACTTTTGGATGTAGAGTAATTGTCTGTGTTCCTGAAAAGAGCTATGGGAAAGAGAAACTTTTGAGCCTTTTGTACAAGGTAGGGGGGCTGTACTGGTACAACACGAGATGTAAACTCCTGACAAAATTGTCCTGGTTATGAAGCGTGGTCTGTTGGAGTGTGTGGTAGTGCAAAGAATATTGGACCCATAAGTTATCAGACCTAACTCTTGACACCCAGCCCAGTATCTTGGAGAGATTATGGAAGCACCACTTTGAGCCTCAGTTTTCTCTTCTATAAAAGAGGAATACTAATACCTCCCCTGCTTACTTCACAAGGTTGTTCTAAAGATCAAATGAGAGTCTGCTTGGGTAAGTGCCATGAATCTCTAGAGAACTCTGTAAATACAATTTCATGTTATAAAATATAAATTACATTTCAGTTTTATATACATGGGCAGTTTTTATTCTTTTTTTGTTTTGATTTAAGAAAATAATATAAATATATTAGTTAATTGGATGCCCGCTCTTCTTTCTAATGGAGATAGGAAAAATCAGGTGACTTTTTTTTCCTCCTCCTTCTCACAAGTAACTTGCTTCATTCAATAGATTTGCTATACTTTTGGATGGCCTAGATACTGTTCCTGTGTCTACACTGCAACGTTCCAATGCAAAGAAACAGCTCCAGTTTCTTCCTCTAGATGCCATGGAAGGTATCTTTTCCTATGAAGTTTATCCCTTACGGGTTTAAGTCACTCATTTTGTGAAAGGTTCTAAGCTATCCTGCACTAAATCGTTTTCACTCCACAGACCTAAAAATACATGTTCATGGTGCTTGGTATTGTGTCTGTGTTGTTAGCCTCATTGAAAAGTTGGGACAGTAAGGCATAGGGAATGTTAATGTTTCATTTACAGGGTTGTAGTCTTTAGTTCTCATTGTCGTATTGACTCTATAAATAATGTAAACTTACTCTATGAGCTATATGTGGTGTAGAGTTTTAGGCAACTTTTTTTCTGTTCTCAAAATTGTAAGTTTGGAATAAAGTTATCAAATAATGTTATGTGGCATCATCGAGGTAATCCCGCAAGACGTTCGATCTTTCTTGTTGGCATATGTGCTTTCAACTTTCTGCCAGCACTAAGTTTTCTTATCACTTAAGGAAGCTGTCAGGAAGGTCAAACTGAGGGCAGAGCTTTCAGAATTCTTAGGAGAAAAAGCAGTGAGTAAAGATGATTGGTGATCATATCTCTCTTTATGACTTTCACTGACCATCTAGCAGCCATTTTCAGAAAGTGAAATAGGGTAATCTATTTAATGTGGATATGGTCACTTGAAAACATTAATAAATTGGAGACATTTGATTCCTCTCTGACAGCAGAAGAAAAATATTCAGAAAAAGCCTCTGGCAACCATGATAATCATAGCTACTGCCCCGAACCATCAGCAGACGGAATGAAGAAAGCACATGTGCAGTCAGCCTGGGAGAAGAATCAATCGGTTCTCTCTGAGCACTGTACGCCTGCTTCAGGAACACCGCAGTCTAACAATTTTGAATATACAGCAAAAATTAGGACCTTGGCTGAAACAGAGCGATTTTTTGATGAGCTCACAAAAGAAAAAGACCAGGTAATAGACAGACAACCCTTTAAAAAAGTCTTTTTTTGAACTTAATGCATGTTGTTAAGTGCCGTCAAGTCGGTTCTGACCCATAGCGACCCTGTATAGGGTTCCCGAGGAGCGGCTGGTGACCTTGAACCGTTGACCTTATGGATCAAATCGACTTTGCAGTCCAGCACATTAACCCACAGTGCCACACCATATTAATGAATATGTCTGAGGAATTGTCAGAGGGTAATGTAGAGCCAATAGTCACATGACTCTGTGGGATACCGTAGGAAAAGGAATGGCAGCTACCGTGGGCTCACAGCACAGCGATTATGAGGATGGCGCTGGACTGGGTAGTGTATTCTTCTTCTGTGAGTTAAACTTGATGATGGTACCTAATAAAAGAACAACAGCAACATAGCAAAAGGACCCCTCGTGGTATAGTGGATTGCATGTTGGACCCCTCGTGGTATAGTGGATTACATGTTGGACCCCTCGTGGTATAGTGGATTACATGTTGGACCCCTCGTGGTATAGTGGATTACATGTTGGACCCCTTGTGGTATAGTGGATTACATGTTGGGCTGTAACTGCAAGGTCAGTCATTCGAACCCACCAGCCATTCTGTGGGAAAAAGATGAGGCAGTTTGCTTCCATAAAGACAGTCTCAGAAACCCTCTAGGGTAATTCTGCTCCATTGTATGGGCCAATATGAGTTGGAATCAACTAGATGGCAGGGCAGTGGGATTTGTTGAGTCATTACTATTTGGTGACAGAGGGCACATAGAGTAAGACGGAATGAACAAGTGACTACTAGACTTTGTGATAAACCTCCATGACGATAAGTAGAATCGGCCCTTGTATTTAAACATTCTTTTGCATTCACAGATTGAGGCAGCGCTAAACCGGATGCCTGCTACTGGGGGGCGGGTCACTTTGCAGACACGATTGAACCAGGTAAAAGGCTTCAGCTGAATTCTGCTCTGGAGACTTGTTTTCCATTTGCCAAGACTTTGAAACTATAGCTTTTTAGGCATACAGAAGCAAGCAGTGAAGACTCTTACTTAGCTTTTACAGAAAATGTTTGGTTATTGTAGCATATTTTATAAATGCATGCTACCTTTCAGCATTAAAAACTCGCATCATCTTCAACTTCAGGATAATATATTCATGCCATATTATTTTGAAGAAATAACTTTGGGAGCAAATGACGATAAGCCTTTTAGGAGATTTAACATTGTTAAATGAATGTTTTCACATTAAATCTCCTTTTCTTGTGTGTTTATTTTTCCCCCTATAGATCTGCAATTTTGTTGTTGTTGTTGTTGTGCTTTAGGTGAAAGTTCACAGAGAAAATTAGTTTCCCACTCAATAGTTAGTACAGAAAGTGTTCCATGAGGTTGGTTGCATTGACTACAATGTGTCAACACACTTCTCATTGTCACCTTGGGTTCCCGTTTCCTCTCATCCCCATGGTTTACCCCTTCTTGCCTTCTCATCTTTGCCTTTTGGGAAAATGACATCCTTTTTTATCTTCTGTAATGTATTTCTGAAGTCCTTTGCATGTAAAATTGTTCCTTTTTGCAACTGGACTAGCTATAGTGGTAAAATACAGAGGTGTGACTACATTGTTGAGCAGGAGCTGCTAGGGGTGATTTGTTTTGTGTGTTTTTCTTTTAGTTTTTGAAAGCAAATTAAAATGCATGAAATAATAGGACTTGTTTAATCTGCTGTTTTTGTCATTTGTAAATATAACACATGTATGTCTAATATAATATATAATTGCCTGTTTTAGCTATGTTGGACCTTGATGTAGGAAAACTCATTTTTTGGTTGATCTGTAATACCAGAAAAAAAAGGAAGCCACAAAGAAAATAGCAGAGCTCTTTGTCTTGGCCCCTGTACACCTAATTGCTTTTTTTCTCTGACTCTAAGCCTTTTTATTGTTTGTGTTCTGAAAGTTTGTGATCACTAATTTATAAGACCGAATGAATATATGAAACTCCTCTAAAAATAGTTTTTCTTTTCCTGATAAAATATTGAAGTTACTACTGAATAAAGTATCTAAAATACTAAATAAATTGTTTCAGGTACAATTTATTAAACTGGTACTAATTATATAAAAGAGAAAGTTATTACACTGATTCATTGCGAAATCCATTGTCCTTTGGAAAGTTTCTTCCAGTATTTATCCTTCTTTTCAACTTAGAAATTTTTGTCAGAAGAAAGTAACTTTGGTTTTGAAGATATGAGTGAGTGGAGTACAGTACCACATGGCTCTACGTATCTCTTCAGAAGGGTTCCTCTTGTGCTGTTCTCAGTTCCACAAAGCCAAAGAATGACCTCAATCCAGTACCTTTACTGCAGTTTCTCTATACTTGGAGTGCCAAACATATTGGGGATAGTTTAAAGTACAGCAGTTATTTATTTTGAATGGTTGAAAAATTTTGGCACATTGTTCAGTTTCAAAGGAATAACCTGAAAAACAAAGATTTATGTAGAAGACGGAATAAGTATGTGTAATGTTAACATTTGACCGTGCTCTTTTGCTAAACAAAAGGTCAGTGTGGTGGTAATGACAGACCCAGTGAACTGGATGTAGAATACTAATGCAACTTTTCCCCCATTATTTTCATCTAGGAAGCATTGGAAGATCGCTTGGAAAGGATTAATCGAGAACTGGGTTCAGTTCGTATGACACTAAAGAAATTTCATGTTTTGCGCACCTCTGCAAATCTCTGAAAATTGTAGCCATTAAATTTTGAGATGTTTTTCTTTGCACTAATGTATAATTACGCATTCAGAAAAGGCAAACTCTTTTGTACTGTTGATAAGCCTTGCAAATAGTAGTTTTACAATCATGCTATTCTTTACACTTGCTATTTTATACTTCAAATGGCCACATATTTTCAAGATATTTTTGTTATGCTCAGGAATCTCTTGTATATTTTACTATTTAAAAAGTGTTATTTTTAAATAGTACATGTCCAGTTTATATGTAGAATAAGGAACTATAAATGGAGAGGCAGCTTGTTTCTAAACAGATAGTGTTATACTTTTACAATGAACATTGCACATCTGATTTTATAAATGTATTCTACGTTGTAAATATGGTTTGGGTTTTTTAGGAAAACAAGTGCTTACCAGAGAGCTTCCATAATGATAGACTAATACATGCTAAATGCAAAAAAAAAAAACAAAAAGAAAAAGTGATAAACAAAAAAACCGTTTCTTGTATATTCTGGATTTTAGTTGTTGAGGTTTTTAAACGGTGGTCCATGTTCTGTTTGAAACATAGGTGTCTTGCAGTGATTATTAGAATAGTAATATTAGAATACTGGAGAGCTCTGAAAACTACAGCAAAAAAATCACTCTGTTTCCCCAAACTGTTATTTGTAACAACAGGAAAGTAAGAGGCCTCTGACTTTGTCATATATGTCGTACTTTGAAGAAAACATTCAATATTTGGAGAGCTGTGTCTCCTACCCAGCATTCTGTTTGTAAACCCTGTTTATCCCACTCTTGACATAAAGCCCCTCAAAATTTTGTGTTGTAGACCACCACCAGCCAGAGAGGTTGTTAAGAGTAGCCTTGGTTTCCTTCAACATACATGGCTTGAGCTATCGACCAAAGTCATCATCCAGATATTTGTAACCCTGTCTTCCCCTCAATCACTGCCAAAAGGAAAGAAAAAATATTCCCATAGTAGGTGCTGTGAGAGTAAACTATTGTTGCTGGTGGATGGATGAAGAATGTGTCAGGACAGAGGCTGGTGCCTTGGCTTGTTGGCTGGTCCCCAAGCACCACTTTGGCCCCAAGTTCCCCTCTGGCCCTGGGAAGTAATCCATGGGTAGGAGGCTCAGCTGGGCCCCAGGAGGCCGTGCAGGTCTGTGTGGACTCTTGGTCAAGTCTGAGGTGCTTAGCCATCTCCTTTTCAGTGGCCAGTCTAAACTCTGCACATGATGATCAAGGTAACCATTCCAGACTTGGACAATTATTGCCTACATTCAATGCTCAGGTTTTCAATTTTGGCATGGTTTTGTGGTTTTCTCTGTATATGACTCTTAGTAACATATTGTTATAATAAACCAAGCCAAATGCAGGTTTATAGCAGGGCATATTTATATGCCTTTGAACTGGGTTCTCAAATTGTTCCCTTCACCAAAGCATCACCTGGTGGATCTCTAGGCTTGGTCCCCACAGCCATGCACCCTTCTTGCAGTTTAGTGGTCATACTCAGCAAGGGGACCTCACCTGCCAGCTGCCACTCCCCACTGTCTGTGAATTCAACCCCTGCTCCCAACTCCTGCAGCCAGTTGAAGATTGGCCTCATCAAAATTAATTACTCATAGACACAATCAAGTGCCTTTGCTCTTGACAGATTTATCGTTTTTAGCCTTTTGTTTTTCCTTAATAGTTAAGAAATGGAAAAGCTCATGTTAATTAAGCTCTGGCATAGCTGGCGTTAGATCTAGTAAAGGGATTTCCCTTATTGATGACATTCCCTTGTTTTATGTGTTCTTATATGTGACATTAAAAATTATCTTGAAAATTAGGGTATTTCATTGTTTGCAGCTCTTATTATAAAGTCTACTTTATTTAAGAGGGGACTATAATTTTATCTTGTCAAGTAGTTACCATCTTACTAGCCTATTGGCTTATTCCAGGAAAAGTACCAAACCCCATGGAGATCCCTTCGGCACCTCTCCCATAGAACGTTCATGTTGGTTTTAACAGTGTGTAATAGACTGGAAATACCAAAAAAACTTTTCAAAAAGAAATTTTATTCTTTTTTTTTTTTTTTTTTTTTCTGTCTTCTTTATAGCTGTTCAGGGGAAACCAAGGGAAGTTCTCTCACCTCTTTCTCTTAGGCACTGCTTATTACCTTATGAACCACCCAACTTAAAACCAGCTGAGAAGTAAGATAGGTGGTAATCTTAGATAGTGACTTTGATCCCGGAAGGCAAGCTGTACTTATAGACTGATGGGGCTGTGTGTGCTCCAGTTAGTGAGAAGCAACCATAGCGAAGCTTTCCCTCTGGGCAGTGCCTGTTTCCGTGCTATGAGAAACATAACACTCTCTTTCCACCTCGATGGTCCCCTTTTACTTTCCCTCACAGAACCTCTATGAGGGGGCTTCAAAAGGTCATGGAAAAATTCCAGTATCTCTGAATTCCATTTTTCCATGAACTTTTTGAAGCTCTATCAGATTTGTGGGAGAGCATGCTACAGGCGTCCCAAGTCAAAAGTTAACAGTCCACTTTCCAATTGAAGTAGCAGCAGGCACCAGGGTGGTGGAGTTGGCAGCTAGGCTCACACCTGGCTCAGGCCACCCCCAGCTTACCTTGCCACTGAGTTGCTTTAATAGCAAGGATTCAATAAATGCTACACTTCAGATTCATTCTGAGGTAAATAGACTTTTGAGATAATGATTTAGTAGTTTTGTTTTTTTAAATAGAAAAATGGATTGTGTTCTAAGCAGTATGGCCTGAAGTACACTTTGTCTCTGAGTTTTCTCTTATGTGGTCCAGTAGGTGTTTTCACCTCTTTGCTAAACACATGTGCTTTCTTAGAGTATAAATGTTCTGTACCCTGTGCTCTTTAATTTTGTAATGAATTGGGGGGAAAAAAAGAGGTGTAACTTCAGAAAGTACTCTGATTGTAAAATTGGTGAGTATGAAAGTGTTTTATAGAAATGAAGGCTCTTTTCCTAAAAGCTAATTACCAGTGTAATCAAAAGAGTTGCTCCTTTATGTGTTCTATGATTACCTGCCTAAAGGAAATAGACTCAATGGAGGACGTGCTGTCCCTGGGCTTTGGAAGAACCATGTGAAGATCACCACGTTTTTTCTTTCTTTCTGGTGTTTGATAGCCAACTGAAAAGTATTCCACTTTGTAGCCCAGAAAAGCCAGGTGTTTTGCTAAATGCTGATTGAATTCTGCTGCTTTATCTTTAGTAAAGTTTGAATTTGTATCATTTTTATTTCGAATTGTGCCCAATGCAGTTTTCACTAAATTTTAATGTGTCAGTTGTGCTGCGGGTCTTTAAGAAGCTTTAAGAAGTAAAATGCATACCTAAAGCCCTTAAGTAATCACAAAGACCAGTCACATTTATGCCTGTTGTGAATGCGTGTGTGTGTGTGTGTGTGTGGGGGGGGGGGGGGGAAACAGATTTGCAAGCCTGATTAAATGGATTATATTTTATTGGACAGATTTTACTGGAAATTATTTCTTGCTCTGCTACAGTTGTGTAGTAGTTTGTTACTAAACTGTACAAGTATTCTTAGGATGTTGTTTCCCTCCCGATGTGTTTTATTTAAGTAAGACCCCTCTCAAATATGAGGATTCAAGCCATAAGCCATTGCTATTAAGACAGCTCTTCAGAGATCATGACTTAATTTCGTATTTGACATTGTCACTGTAACTGACCAGCAATGTGAATATTTTGTTTTATAGAGTGTTGCTGATGGTTGGACAAAGACAGGTGCTTGTTGGCCTTGTTTTTCAGCCTTGTCAAACACTGTAATTGTAAGCTCCAGGAGAGCAGGGACCATGTCTTTTTCACTCTTGCACGAAGGCACTCAATAAACAGTTGTGATCAAAACTGGCTTGTGGTATCAGTGTATTTTCACTGGCAAACTGTGAGATCTGAGTTTTAAAATTCTTTAAAGCCCTTTTAAGTCCTGTTCTTTAAGTCCTGTTAAGTGCTGTCCAGTGGGTTCCAACTCATAACAACCTGGTATGGGGTTTCTAAGGAACAGTTGGTGGGTTTGAACTGCCAACTTGTGGTTAGCAGTCCAACTCTTTTCCTGCAGTGCCACACCAGGTCTCCATTTTTAAGTCCTGTTGTTGTTGTTAAGTACTATGGAGTCGGTTCTGACTCATAGTGACCCTGTACAGGGTTTCTAAGGCTGCAAATCTTTACAGGAGCAGAAAGCCTCATCTTTCTCCCGTGGAACAGCTGGTAGTTTCGAACTGCTGACCTTGCGGTTAGCAGCCCAACCACTACTCTACCAGAGCTTTTTTTCTTTCTGTTTATTTCATTTCATTGAAATGATTAAAATCCTCTCCGTGCATCATCAAATAACCAAAGGATACAGTCCATAGGCCTACCCCCCACCCCTCACCCCCCGGCTGTCAGCAAACAGCTCCTCTCCCTCCCTGAGTCCCGTGTCCCAGACACTCCATCTGTCCATGCCATCATAGTCACCCCATTTTGGGTCTGGGCAGTTTCCAGTCCCCACCCCCCTAAGGTATTCCAGTTAGTTATAGGCTGGCTACGGGTAGGTCTCCTTTTTTAAGTCCTATGGTTGTTTTGTGCCGTGGAGTCGATTCCGACTCATAGCGACTCTATACAGGATTTCCGAGGCTGTAAATCTTTACAGGAGCAGAAAGTCTCTTCTTTCTCCTGCAGAACAGCTGGTAGTTTCGAACTGCTGACCCTTGGGGTTTGCAGCCTGATTAGTAACCACTACGCTTGTTGTTGTTGTTAAGTGCCGTCGAGTCGGTTCCGACCCATAGCGACCCTGTACAGGGTTTCCGAGGGTGTAAATCTTTACGGGAGTAGAAAGCCTCATCTTTCTCCCGCGGAGCGGCTGGTAGTTTAGAACCGCTGACCTTAAGGTTCGCAGCCCGATTCGTAACCACTACGCTACCAGGCATATATAAATTAGTCCTGGTGAGTGCAACTATTGTAGGGTTACAGATGCATATAGAACCTTCTTTAGAGCTGTGTCTGCCCC